GTTTTATATAATAGGAGCTCTGATGGTATAGTGCCTAAGGCATTTGACTACTAACCATAAGGCTGGCGGTTCAAACCCACCAGCCACTCCTCAGAAGGAAAGTTGGGCAATCTACTTTCATAGTGATTCCGCCTCAGAAACCCAAGGAGGGGTTACTAGGAGTCAGATCCAACTTGACGGCAGTGAGTTTGGTTTTTATATGTATAAAACTGAATGATATAAAATTCTGTCAACTGATTCAGTGGTTCCCACAGAAATAATTATATAAGAACAGATAATTGGGTAGGGATTGCAACCAATGTCATGGAACAATCTGTGTACAAACTGCTGAACAGGAAACTAATTTGCTCTGTAAACTTTCACCAAAACCACAACGAAAAATAATAATAATTAGAAACAATACACATGGCCAAATATAAGGTAATACTGAATAATTATGTACATATATAACTTGCAATGTCATGTGATCTCTTAAAATGATCATTCTGAAAGGAGAGCCCTTATGATATAACATTTATGGGAAAATGTAGTGCTTAAACTACAGGGAGTCTCCCATTTAAGACAGGGTTTCATTCAGATGACTGTGTCATGTATTAGAGCTTAAATTCTAAAGTACTCGGTTTGTAAAAGGCTGAGGTCTGCAGTGGGAGCACTGACTCCATTCTCAGTCTTCACATAAGTTCAGATGCCATTTGAGTTCTTTCTGACCATTAAACCAGCAGTGTGACTATGCTTAAACAAGTCTTAGGAAAACCTGGGGAGGTGCAGTTTGCCCTCAGGAAGAGGGTGATTGAAAGTAGATGATGCTCACACAAAGAACTAGAGAATTTGCTTGGATGTGTCCTTATTGATTTACCAAAACTAACTCCATGTTATCTTATTTAAGTTAAAGGTTGGAGTCCTGGTATTGTCTTGTAGCCATCTTGTAGCTATGACTAAGGGTCGCATGGTCATGACCACCAAGTAGCCAGGTGGTCATTCCTGGAACCAATCCTGAACACTTTTTGATCTGCAATGGCTACGTATCCCAGTCATGGTCTTTTCCCTGCTTCTGTAGTCCCATCTGTGATATTGATGAATTGACATGCCACCAATCATGATTTTGAGATAATTTTCTTTATTTTCTATCATATATAATTAGCCCATGGCCATGAATCAGTAAACTCCATTTTGCATCTGCACTGTGTACATGCAGCATGTATGTACTGCTGGTATTATCCTACTACTATCTTTGTTTTGTCTTTGTCCTCTCTAAGGTTTAATAAAAGAGTCTCTGTAGAACATAGTTGAGTCTGGGGTCTTTTATTCCCTTTGTTGTTGTTGTTGTTGTTGTTGTTGTGTGCCATCAAGTCGGACCCGACTCATAGAGACCCCTCCTTGGGTTTCCGAGGCAGTATCACTACGGAAGTAGATTGCCCCATCTTCCTTCTGAGGAGTGGCTGGTGGGTTTGAACCACCAGCCTTCTGGTTAGCAGTCAAGTGCCTTAGCCACTATGCTACCAGAGCTCCCTTTATTCCCTTAGGAAAAATTAAAAAAAAAAAAAAAAGAGGTATTTGACTTATGTCAGAACTGACTTTATTCCCTTAGCATAGTCATAAGTCAGTTCTGACATAGTCAAATACCTCTTTTTTTTTTTTTAGTTTTCATTACTATTGACTTTTTTTTAAATCAGTATCTTTATAAATCCAATCTTTGTTTTTGGGAATTGGAAATATTACATATCAAGTGAACATTGAGAATAGTAACATCAGTAAATTATGCACTGTGCAACATTGTATATACATAATAATAATAATAATAATAACCACAGAAAGTCATAAGTGAAGTTTGTGGTGACTTGAATACGTTCATAAATTGGGGACAACCTATATATAAAACAACACATTGCCCTCAGTCAATTCCAACTCATAGTAACTGTTTTGGTTACTGTTTGCTGCTCCAACAGAAAAATACCACAAATGAGTGGCTTGAACAAACAGGAGTTTGTTCACTTACAGTTTTGGAGGCTAGAAGTCCGAGTTCAAAGTGCCAGGTCTAGGGGCTATATGAAAGCCCCTTGACCTTAGGCTTTAGCTCTGCCTCCTGCTATTGGCCCATTGAAGCTGCAGGCATCTCTTCAGTCAGGCAGCTGCTGGTTGCTGAGACTAACAAGCCCAAGGTCAACAAATAAAATGGCACAGTCCAGATATTACCAAACCACACAGCAGGCCATTGATTCAAGTCCTATTAATAGTCTCAAGATTGGCAGACAACATGGCAGACTGCTGAATAATGACTCAGCTACATGCAGGATTCAAGCATGTCAAAAGCTGGAGACTTTCCTCAAAGCTGCTTCTTATATTCTGGAAGCAGACCATATCCCTAAAGCAGCTACTCAGCTGCTCACAGTAGATTCCACCATGGAGTTGATTATCAGGCTCATCATGGGGGATACTACATCCAGCTGCCCAGCCACTCACCCAGGCCCAGCCAACTTGACATATAATCATAACAACCACAGTGACCCTACAGGACAGAGTAAAACTGCTCTTAGAGTTTCCAAATCTATGTTTCAATGAATTGAGTTTCTTAAATTATTGTTTTTAGCCAATTGCTTTCCTCCTGCCCCACTGTTGGAGTCTCTTAACACTTCGGCCAGATTCCATATGATTCCACTCATTCTGAAGTCATATTGAAATGGTCCCATTTTGTTATATAAAAGTTAGTGTTGTTACTGTTAAAAATTCAATCTCAAATATAATTCAAAATTTGTCTCTTGCACTTTTAGCACTCACTAAATTCAATTTGTGACTAAATCAATTTGGGAAGAGGAGGTCTTAACAAACAAACAAACAAACAAAAAAAGGAGCTCTGGTGGCATAGTGCCTAAGGCATTGACTGCTAACCAGAAGGCTGGTGGTTCAAACCCAGCAGAGGAAGTCGCTCTTCGTAAACATTCTCCCCTTTCATTCTTTCTTCAAGCTCCTTCCCTCCCTTGAGATTCCGCCTACAGAGTCCTAGTAGTTCTCAATGTTGACTGCCTATTGGAATCACCTCCAAACCAAAACCAAACTCACTGCCTTTGAGTTGGTTCTGACTCAAACCCACTGGGTTTCCGAGGCAGTGAATCTTTACAGCAATAGATTGCCCTATCTTCCTTCCACAGAGTGACTGGTGGGTTTGAACCTTCTGGTTAGCAGTCAAATGTCTTAGGTGCTCCTTATTGGAATCACCTGGGTAGGGGCAGCTTTTAAACATACCAATTATTGAGATTCTGATTTAATTGTTCTGGGGGAGGGCTGGATATTATAATTTTTTAAAAAGCTCCCCGGTGATTCTGAAATAACTGGGTTAAACAAACAGCCTGTGCAGCTACTAACCAAAAGGTTGGCAGTTTAAGTCCACCTCGAGGCACCTCAGAAGAAAGCCCTGTATTCTATTTTTGTAAGATCACAGCTGTTGAAAACCTTACAGAGCACAGTTCTACTCTGACACACATGAGGTCATCATGAGTCAGAATCAATTGCACAGCAACTGGTTTGGTTTTTGGTTTTGGTTTGAGGTGATTCTAAATATAAAGCCAAGGCTGAAAGCCAGTGCTATAAGCCCCACAGGTCCTTGCTGTTCTTACTGGATAGAAAAGAGCAAAAAGGAAGATTTTGCTTAAGTGACTGTGACTGGCCCCTTATTGGCAATGCGGAGGGCACCTGGGCTGCTTTCCTCTGGTCCTGTCTGATGCTGCTGGCCTCTGTTCATATGGAGGTTGGTTCCATAAGGGTATATTGGTTTCTTGGGGTGGGTCAGCTTTGCCCAGATCCATTCATGCTGAACCTCTCCTCCAATGCTGTATTCCTCAAAATCCCTTCTCTGGGATGGGCATTCAATTACTTGACTCCCACTTGCACCACGGTCCTCTTCTACATGGATCCAGGGGACAGCTAAGATTCACTTTGGCATGCTTCATTGGCCACAGAGATCTGGGATGACATGGGGGTACCCAAAACGTCTTCCTAGGCCCACTAATAGCAACTTCTAGTACCATTATTCAGTATCTACTCTGTCATGTTGTCAGAAGGGACCATTCTCTGCAGGAGTATATCATGCTTGGTAAAGTAGAGGGTCAGCAAAGAAGGGGAAGACCCTCAATGAGACAGATTGACATAGTGACTGCAATGATGGGCTCAAGCATAGCAAGGATTGTGAGGATGGTACAGGACCTGGCAGTGCTTCGTTCTGTTGTACACAGGGTTGCTATGAATTGGAACCACTTGACGACACCTAACAGCAAAAGCTCTGTGTTAATAATCGCATTGGTTGCTTCAAATATGGTTTCTTATTTAATTTCACACAATCCCATCAAGAGACATCAATCCTTATTTTGCAAATGAGGCAACTGAGAATCTGGGTTTTCCAGCTTGTCCAACATCACACAACATTGAGTAGCTAGAGAGTAACAGAACCAAGGTTGAAATGCAGATCTGACTCCAAAGCGGACAGCCTTTTAGTCATTCTAGTCTACCTAATGTCAGTTTCTTTTAAGGTGTTAATGGTTTGACCTTTTACCTCCCGCAGGTAATGCAGCTGCATTCTACTGAGGACCTTTTTAGTGCTGTCATCTAAAGAGGTAACTGACAGGGGATTTCAGGCTGAGCCAGGCAGGCAGATGGAGGAAAATTCCTCTACCCCCATCCCAAACCCCCACACTAGCATAGGCAAAATGCTTACAGTCGATAATACACTTTGGATCTGCTACCTACTAGAAAAATCCAGATTTGGGCAGATCACAGTTCCACCCACTCACCAACAGTCATGTCTAAATTCTGTTCTCAGGACCCACTAATCATTTACAGCCTGTTGATGGAAAGTTTAACCAGGGGTCAAGGTGAGCATGCCCAGTTACACAACGAAATGTATAAAGACTTTGTTTTAATCAATTGTGTGTGTGTGTGCTTTAGAAAGTCTGTATAAAGTTTCCTGCTATGGTAGACATAGCAGAGGATAGTTTTCACATTTTAACAAAATGAAGGTGTTTCTTGCAGCTCTGCTTTTGATCGCACTGCAAAATTCTTGTGCTGTGAGTCCCACCAATTGTGATGAAACCGAGCCGGTAGCTGGGAAAGTTCTAGACCTGATCAATAAAGAGCGACAGGATGGCTACCTTTTCCAGTTGCTGCGGGTTGCTGATGCCCACTTGGACAAAGCGGTGAGGAATCGCCAATGGCAGAGCTGAGTGAGGAGACAACATACCAGGGGACCATGTAATGGTAGCCCTTGAGCCTACTGCTTTGCATATTATGCAAAGGCTCTGGTCAGAGTTTTATGTTTAGTTTCTGCTCCTGCTATAGATTGATTTTTCTTCCTTTCAAACTAATGTTTGTGATCACTCTGTCCTTAACTATGAATCAATCTACCAGTGCTCATAAGTATTGTGAGAGAAAAATTAGAATAAACTGTGGGCCTTGCTTCAAGGAATTGCTAATCTGCCCACACACACAGGCACACTGTGTAAAATGGGATCTATTGAAGTGGCCAACTGTGTGGTATAAATGTGGGAGAAAATTAATGAAAGGAGATAACTATTAAAGTTAGAAGGGAGAAGGCTTCAGTTGGGTCCTGAAGAATAGGCAGAATTTGAATAGGAAGAGGGCCTAGGCAAAAGAATTCCAAGTAAATTCCAGCATACCACCTCTATGTGGATAGAGAATCAGGAAGAAGCGTTTTAGGGAATAATTGAAAAGAAGCAGTGGGACTGCAGAAGTTCTCTGGAGAATGAGCTTAGGAAAGGCTCATACCCAGGACAAGAGGCATCTGTAGATGTTCAAGGGAGCATTCGTGATTCAGTGGTAGAATCTTACCATCCATGCCAGAGACCCAGGTTCAATTCCTGGCCAATCCACCATAAGTGCAGTTACCACTCATCAGTCAGAGGAAGCTTGCATTTTGCTATGATGCTGAACAGGTTTCAGTGGATCTTCCAGAATAAGACAGACTAGGAAGAAAGTACTTTTGAAAAGTCAGCCAATGAAAACTCTATATGGATCACAATGGGACCCTTGCACACGGGGACATGGGGGTCACCATAAGTCAGGGGCCAATCCCACAGCAGTAACAACAAAGTGTTACAAAGGAAGTCACTGCAGGTTGCAGAGGAGTATAAGAATTCAAGATTCAGTCAGGATGTTAGTGACTGTTAGTGCCATTTCTATGGTCTCTGCTACATGTACAGGACATGTGCTCTCTGCACTGTGCTACCCCAGAGTGGTGGCATGGAGGGTGAATAGATGGGGAGGGAACACAGGGTACCTGAAGAGATAGAGGCCAGTAATGATAAATGAATTAGGAAGCTATTTCATGCATTCAGAGTTGAGGAAATGAGGACCAGACCAAAGCAGTGGAACTAAGGCCATGAGAATGAGCAATAGGCATAGAGGCATTTCGAAGTAAGACCATTCAAGACCTGGTGACTGAATGGATAGTGAAAGCAAGGAAATGTAGGAAATCAAAGTTGATTTCACATTTTTAAGCCAAAGATCAAAGCAACAGTTAGTAGTGCCTCTGCCAAAGAGGGAGCTCTGATGGTGTAGTGCCTAAGGCATTTGACTGCTAACCAGAAGGCTGGTGGTTCTAACCCACCAGCCACTGCTCAGAAGGAAGACTGGGCAATCTACTTCTGTAGAGATACTGTCTTGGAAACCCAAGTAGGGGTTGCTATGAGTTGGGACTGACTCGACAGCAATGAGTTTGTTTTTTGGTTTCTGACAACGGCAAGAAAGTTGAGAGAAGGAGCTGGCTTGTAAGAAAATGTAATGGATTTAGCCTTGAAATGACGTTTGGAAACAAGCTGAAATCAAGAAAATTCAAGGTCAAGAATAGATTTGGGTGATAACACAGCTGCAAATAGAGACATGGAAGCCACAAACACAGAAGAAGTGGGGTGGCTGTCATCACTCAGAATTCTAGGCTTGCGCTGCAAGAAGCAGCTCCCAAACCAACACTGCCATTTAGTGACAGATTTTGAAAGCTTGTGGGCAGAAGCAGCATTGTGACCAGTTAAAAAGCACACTTGGAAGTGACTCTTGGAAGCTATTTATTTAATTAAATAGAACAAATGGCACAAAGGAGGGAAATCTGCAAAATTTTGGAGAGGAGCAGGGATTCTGTTTAAAGAAATTGCTTTTATTGAAGAAAGCTCTGGGCTCCCACATACTATTCACCTGTTGCTTTCTTGTCATTCTTCAGGAATCTGTGGCTGTCTATTATCTAGCCCTAGATGTCAAAGAATCTGACTGTTCTGTCCTATCCAGGAAACATTGGGATGACTGTGAGCCAGTTGCTTCTAGGCGTCCATCAGATATAGTAAGTAAGCAGGACACCATTCCCCTCCTCTTGTCATTCTTTCTACTCTGCCATGCACTCAGGCTAACACAGCAAAATGTGACAGGTAACTCCTGCCTCAGGATCATGAAGACTAAGTTCACTGTGAGTACTAACATCTCGAGAGCCATAACTGGAAGCCCAGTTGCAGATAAGTCAGTGGAGTTTGAGGTCCACGAGGTAGCATGACCAGCTCAGAGGGCAGGAATCCGTGGAGGGATGGACACTGGGAAGAGGTAACTATGGGGAGGAAATGGGAGGGGAGTTGTTGCATTGTGGTAAACTGTGGTCAATGTCATGAGACAAAGTATATGTGAACCACGGTATAGAAAGTAAATTTGCTCTGTAAACCTTCACCCAAAGCACAATTAAAAAAAAAAAAATGCAGGTTTGGGAAACAGATTTGACAAGAGAAAATATAAATAACTTATAACAGGATAGTAGGAATTTGTCATGTCATCTTTTCATTACATCATATCCAACCTGAGGAGACCAGTGTGCAGTGACACAAAGCCCCTCTTTCTTACAGGTGATTGGGCAATGTAAGGTGGTAGCTACAACACCTTCGAACGAACTTCAGGATCTTAGAGTGAATGACTTTAACTGCACCACAAGTTCTGGTATGGTTACGAGTTAAATTAAATTAATTCTAGATTAGAATAGAATTCAGTCATTCAGTAGAACTCACCATAGATTGTACATGTCAGAAATGGTCTGTGCCCTCATAGACTTGATTATTACTTATTCTTCTGACAGAAAAGAGGAGAGAGCTCTCTCCCTGTTACTGGTATGCCTTCCTTTCAAGAGATTCAATATATCAAATAGAAATTTATAAGACGCAATAAAGATCATTGTGGAAGTATAGGCTCTGGGGTCTGACTTACTTGAGTTTGCCTGCCAGACTCACAATTACTAACTATATGGTCTTGATTGGGAGCTCTGGTAGCATAGTGCCTAAGGCACCTAACTGCTAACCAGAAGGCTGGCAGTTCAAACCCACCAGCCACTCCTCGGAAGGAAGATGGGGCAATCTACTTCCATAGTGATACTGCCTTGGAAACCCAAGGAGGGGTCTCTATGAGTCGGTCCGACTCGATGGCACATACCAACCAACAAACGAACCATGACCTTGATTAAGTTAATTAAACTCTCTAAGCCTTAGTTTCCTCATTTATAAAGTGAGGACAATAACAATTCTACCCTTCAGGGCCCTTCTGAGTATTAAATAAGATGGTGTGTGTAGTAAACATTGCAGAGTACCTAGCACTCAGTAAGTATTGATTTCAACATCTAATAGTTGTGAAAGCGTCTACAGTTTACAAAACACTTGTCCGTATATTATTTCATTAATTTTACAACAAGATATGTTCTACTTTAGAGATATGATCCCTGAGGCACAAAGACATTCATTGAGTTGGTCCAGGAACATAGCCAAGACGTGGTGAAAACATAAATCTAACCTAGCAATTTGGACTCTAAATTCCCTGCTCTTCTTATTTATTTTTTTTCAAGAATTAATATATTTAAATTATGTTTCAAAAATAAATAAGAAAGAATAAGAAATGAAACGGGTGACATCACAACAGAACCAACTGAAATAAAAAGGATAATATCAGGATACTATGAAGAACTGTATTCCAACAAATTT